ACTTAAACCGATTCTGAATTAAGCTATTATCTGTTATATCACCAACGTTTTTGATAAAAAAACAAACCTCTTTAATCAACGGAGACTCTCAATTAAGAAATCAACAAACATGTTTCCAGTTTTGTTTTCTATACATTTCATGTTATACTTTCAGTACATATACTAACAACAATATTATAATTAAATAATAGGTTGAAAAATCGCCAAGTTTTTTTATATCTTTATTTAAAGAAGGATGAAGTATATTTGTCTAACAACAATATTAGGTTATACTTTTGTTGCTAAGCTACATGACATAAAAGCCATTTTTTTTAATGTAGTGTTACCAAAACGCCCTGGCTTTTATATATATTACAAGTTCTTAATCTAACTGATTTTTTTTCAATAATTAGTCTATGAATACGCCATGAATTCATTTCATGAATTATCTTAATTTGGATTGGCTCACGAAGGAACTTACAGACGTTTGATTGCATCGACTGCACTTTTCTGCCTATTTGTTGGTCAAGTCTGATTTTGCAAAATTTATTTATTTCAGTTACCTATAGAATGTGAGGTTACGGTATACTATGGGGGTGGAGGTACTTGCCATCATTTTTGACGGGCTATACGCTAGTTAAAGAAATAGATCGCAATTAGGTGTTGCTCGTAAGATACAATATTAAATGTGTATATAGCAAAGCAAAGCCACCCCCGTCTCAGTGTGTAATGTACGTCTCTGGACTTATTACGCTAAAAATTGGATTTCGATACCCGTGGTGGGACAGCACAAACAACCCATTGTTTAACATTGTGCTTAACTGCAAACAAACAAACAAACAGATAAACAACCAAAGTAAGTTTTATCATCGGATTTGGACTTTACACCACTTGATTTCAGTTCAAGTAGAACAGGTTGGTCCAATCTTTTACCTATAAAAGGCAGAACTGTTGAGGATGAAGACAGTGGTAAGCCATAACTTACTGTGTTTTTTGTTTTTTTTAAAATAGAATTTAACACTAAGAATGAAAATACCAAAGTTAAAATATAATTTAACACTAAACAAGTCAGCGTTAAACGTTTGCTCTGTAAAATACACACACACACACACACATACAAAACAGTTTTATGTTGTATAAAAAAATATACACGAAACACTTTAATATAAGTTTAACATAACAGCAAATATCAAAACGTTGTACATTTGCTGTTGTGTTAAACTTATATTAAAGTTTTTCGTCATTACCCATTCAAGCCGTCTCCAACCATTATTAGTCTCAAAGTGGGTTCCTCGTCATCGAATTATACACGAAACAGTTGTATACTTTGCTAAAAAGCATATATGTAACAGTTATACGCTGTATAAAAGAATATACGAAATACACGAAAGTCTTATGTTTTTGTAAAAACATATATAAAACAATTGTATATTGTAACAAAAAATATACACAGAATACTCGTATATTGTAACAAAAATATATACACAAAATACTCGTATATTGTAAAAAGAACATAGATTAAACAGTTGTATAATGTATAAAGAAGCATATATGAAATAGTGTATATTGCCACAAAAACCACATATGAAATGGTTATGTAATGTATAGAAAACATATATGAATCAGTTGTATATTATTACAAAAACATATATAAAACAATTGCATATTGTATTAAAACAAGATCTGAGTCAGTTGTATGTGTATAAAAAAGGATAAACGAAACCTTTGAATATTGTTTACAAAGCATGTATGAAATAGTCGTATGTTGTCACAAAAGTTACTCATGGAATGGTTATGTGCCATATAAAATCCTATATGAAGCAGTTGAATATTGTAAGAAAAACATATGCGTGAAACAGCTGTATGTTGAATAAAGATCATACATGAAAATGTGCATAATATATAAAAAGTATACATTAAATAGTTATACAAGTATTAGGAATAACAATTATCGCTAGATAAAAAAGCTATGTAGGGCTGACTACTGAACATGAAAAAACAAAAACGAACCTAATAAGATAGAGATGGAAGTGTACATATCACTTGATCCGGCTAATGATCATATAGCAGACTAAGCCGTCTCGACTTTACATGGCGAATAAAATCCCTATATTACTGACTTCCCCACTTTTTCTATCAAAAGCTTGGTGTTTGAATATAATCTTAGCTTTCATCATTATATCTTTCCTTTAGTTAATTTTAGAATATTACTTTTATGACTATTTTACAATAGAATAACATTTTGTTATTTGTTTTGCCAGTGAGGAAGCCAGTAATATAGGGATTTTATTCTCCATATAAAGTCAACACGGATTAGTCTATTATGTGATCATTAGCTGGATCAAGTGATATGTCCACTTCCATCCCTATCTTGTTTGGTTCCTTTGTTTTTCAAGTTCACTAGCCTGCCCTACATATTTTTTTTGTATTTAGCGATAAATGTTTTTCCTAATACTTGTTTGTTTACTTTTTTATAAGATGGCGCACGTGTGTTACCAGGTTATAGGGTGTACTCTAAAGCTTCATAAATTTTGCATATATTATTAATAAAATAGATAGTCAAAGATCGTGAAACTGTTTTACTCTAACAAATAATGATAAAATTATAGTTACTGCTAGAACTAAGTAGGCGCTAGGCCTGTTGAAGAAAGAAGATGATGAACGAAAATAAGAAATCTCGGTTTTTGGCTACTCGACAGTTTTGGACTTCGAAACGCTCTGGATAGCTGCAAAACAGACATGTACACCGGAGGTAAAACGACTGTGCCAGATAGCTCTTCATATCTAGCTTCTGAAGACCTGTAGAGAAGAGAATCCAGATGACTTTTGTATTGCTTTAATACGGGTATCCGTGCCATCCCTACATAGAGATTTTACCTAAATTTTCAAGAGAAGCTTACTGTAAATTCGTCTGTGGATTTAGGTATTTTGCTTTATGTCCTTCTCAGTACAACCTCAACTCTGACTGCTACCTTTCTCTCTCTCTTACACAGCCCCTTAACCTAATATAATCACGCGAGTGGGGAGAAGAGAAGTTTCATTTCTGAACACCCCCGGTTTCCATGAGCTCCGGACTCTTCCCGAGTTCGAGGATCAGGACTCATACCGAAATTCTCTCTATGTTCTATTGGACAAGCCCTACATAGAGAGCGCTAGCGCACTCTCCGATATCATATAAAAAACGTATATGAAACAGTTATATATTATATTAAAAGCATATATGAAATAGTGTAGCTAAATTTAGTTTTCTGAAAAGAATCAAAAACAACAAACAAACAATGCTTCCACGAAACATACATCCAACACCGGGGCATAAACCCTTAGAACTGAGTCACTATGTATCATGCCCTGTTTTGTTTAGGTACCGGAGGAACTAAGACCAGATTGCGTTAGGGGTACTCGTATACCCGGCTTGTGCCCGATGTTGGATGTTTGTTTTGTAGCTGCGTCTTTTTTTTTTCAAAAAAATTAAATCTAATTATATTTCATTTAAGATTTGACTATGCTGTATTCACACTGTTCTTCATTTTGATGTCCATAAAAATACTGTAGCTTGTTTAGATAATTATAAAATAGTGTATATTATCATTAAAACTGTACTAGAAACAGTTGCATAGTGTAACAAAAAAAACACACATGAAACAATTATACATAGTACAAAACATATACGAAAACACAAATGAAATATTTATGTTGTATAAAACCATACATGAACTAGTGTATCTTGTATAAAACCCATGTATGTAATAATATATATATATATATGTGTGTGTGTGTGTGTGTGTGTATTATAAAAAATCATACAAATGTAGTTGTTTATTGTAAAAAAAGCACATAGGGAACAGGTTTATGCTGCAACATGAAACAGCAGTATATTGTATGACAAACATACTTGAAATACTTGTATCTGCAAGAAAATTCATATATGACACAGTTGTTAACTGCAACAAAACCATACATGACACAGTTTCATATTGTGTAAAATTTACATTCAAAAAAGTTAATGTATTTTGTAACTTAATATTTCACTTCCCTTTACAGAGATCCAACGATGTCGTCAGAGAGAGATTAATGTATTTACATTCTTTCCAACAATAGGCTGTTTGGTACAACAGGACTTTGTTCAGCCTGTAATAAAACCATCCCAGCGTTTGAGATGGTCATGAAAGCTGGGAGTAATGTCTACCATCTTGACTGCTTCGTTTGTCAGTGCTGCAATCACAGGTGAGACCCGCAGGTTTCAAGTAAATAAATTACTAATTTTGAAGATAAAATATTTAATGTTCTTAACGATTATATGAAGAACCGTTATCAGTTACAAAGAAACAGGTTGATCAATAATCGAAAATATCATTAGTAGTGAGGCTACCCGACTGAGGAAACGATACGATCTAGTCTTTATAAGTAGAAATATAAGAAGGGTGTATTGAATTAGCTACACGTTGATTTTTAATTCGGCTTTAAGTACATAGCTTGCTCTGACCGGAAGTCAATGTTGATTAGTGGCCCTACAGCAAAACGTATATCTCAATAACCGGATTTCGTTTCTCGTCAAAACCGGTTATTCGTGATAATCACCTGGAGAAGGGTTTGTTTCAAGGGGATGTAAAGATACATTCCAAATTCATTTGTCAGAGAAAGGAAATAATTTCTTTCTTTTCTAATACACATCAAAACCATTTCCTTTTTATCTGGCAATAACGGTATTATTTAATTATACTACAAACATGCAATATGAACAAGAACACAAATTACATAATCATTACACAAAGATGTAATATTAATAAACACAACAATACTTACTAATTACACAAAGATGTAATGAGAAAGAGCTTCAGGTGAATTTAATGATAACTTATGAAGTTAAGCTGAAATACGAAGTTACCGGATTTAAATAACTTGCAGATAAAATATTAACTCCTCCTATAGCCTTGATTCTGGACGAGTTACTTGCATTTTACAGCTGATACAGGCCTGGAGGAGTTCCACGAATCACGACTAATGAATTATTTAAGGTTTTAGAATTACCTCATGCTTCATAGCATATGTAAACTTTCTATTCAAAATATATATATTTCTTTTCTTCGTTACACACAGTGATTTCTTAACTATTGGTCTCCCCAGTGGGTCAGCGATAAGTTTATGGACTTAAAATGCTGGAGTTCGGTGTTCGATTTCCCGTGGCGGACAGAGCACAGATTACCCATTGGATAGCTTTGAGCGAAAACAAACATACATATTATTTATTACTTGTATTAAAATAATTTGTATTTTTTTAATCGTAACAGTTAGTATTTTAGTCTTAGGTTGAATAGAATTGAGATACGATCATAGCAATCAAAACGAAAACCAAATTAGATACTCAGAGAAAGGCTTTCGATAATACACTAATTAAATAGATTATCATGTTGCATCTCGTTTTATTGTTTATTTGAATGGGACGTATTTTAACTTTAGAAAATTAACAGTACAAAAATAATTACATTTTATATACTACAAGATAAGAGGAACAGTATCTAAATTAAAGCAGTTTAATTAATTTTTGTTTAATTGCAAAGAAAACGTATGCGGATGAGAGTGAATTGATCCCGTGATTTCGGTGATATTTTTGTACGTGTGAACCAGCAAGAATGGCCAACTTCTGAGTTAATGCAATCTAACCCTAAAACTTCTGAGTGCAATCTAACCCTAATATGTTTTTTACCCTTTAATTTTTCTATACTGAAGTAATTTTACGATCATTGTTCATCCGTCGTTTTTCATATTTACTGAAAAAAATGACTTAAATATGTTTTTATGAATGAATTTTAAAATCACCTAGAAAATTCTCTTCATTAACTTGTATCTTCTCAGAAGTTACGTTAATTGTGATTAACGTATTCAGTTCGTTTGCTGTGTTCAGAAGTTAGTCGCAGAATAACAGATAATTAATTCATAATTTATTACATTACCAGGCATAAGTGAACCCTATGTAAGATTTTAAGTAAAATGTATTGCATGTTTCTTTCACATGATGTGACGTATTCATATATTTTACAGCCCCTGGTTACAATAATGTAAAAGTGCGTTTTTCCTTCATTTAGATTTTGCGTGGGAGACAAATTTTACTTGAGCAACGGGAAAGTACTTTGTGAATATGATTACGAAGAAAAAATTTTATTCGCCAACCTTCCGTACACAGGTGATAGTCTCTCTCAACTGAAGAAGCAAACTGCAAACTTAAGTGTCACCTCCCACGACGACGCTTCGAGTGGTTATGGTAGCCCGGATTCAATTTTCAGTGACGGAAAGTAGCGTTCAATACCTACCCAGAATAGGTCTATATAGTGTAATAACCGTTATGGACCAATCTGTATTTCGTCCTGGAAGATTAAGTGTAGTCCAAGTTTTGGAGGCAATGGTATATGTTGTTTAAATTTGTGAGAAAAGTCTTAAGTTTGACTTTCCATATTTTATTCATTTACCAGCATGGTAATTACTATCTAATCCTGAGTTGTATATTTCACTGCTGGTTCTCTCTCTTTGCCTACAAAACTGGAATTTTAGACACCAAGTCTTCATTTAAAAACAAGGATTCAAAGGTGGACTAAATATATTTAAATACCAAACACTGTGTTCACGTGCATAGTGGTCACGTGAATTAGACTTTCTACAGTCTTGATTCATTCCAGCTGTGAATAACTTCAGTAGGTGACTTACAACTACAGAGGTCGCTTTTACATGTAATATAGTCTTAAATGTTTAAATAATTATTGTAAAATATGTATACCATATGATTGCGTTTATTCATAATAAACCAGAAAGTAATTCAAATAAATATATTATTGTGTGTTAAAATGTACGTTTCTCAAAACCTTAAACCTATGTTAACATAATGAAAAACCATACCACACTGGATGCCACTAATAGTTTGATATTTTCTTTCTCACTAACAGCACATTCACATATTAGCACATTTCAGAACTTAGCAACAACAAAAAATGTAAATAGCATTTCATTGTTTTTAACAAATGTTAAGACGGTGCTCTAGAGCAACATAATATAACTAACCCGACTTTTCAATCACGTAAATTGTATTTTGTAATTTCACTCATACATTTCTGTGAGGAAATAAAACGGTATTGCTAATTTCAGAATTCTTATTGCATACACAGGAATAAGACGATTTTAAGTTTGTTTACTGTTACGATTAAGTTCAGCTAGCTCCTATTCGAAGACGAAATAAAAGATATTTAGTCTTTTTAAGATTTGTAGCTTCTCCCTACTCTGTAACTCCCACTGATATGGAAGTCTTTTTTTTTTTGGAAGGGCATGATAGTCGTATTACGTAACTTGAACTGAAAAAAGTATCTCAAATTAGATGAGACCTAGGGTGTGGGTTTAATAGTAGTTTCAAACAGCATCAGACTGCCACAAGACGTGCAAAGAGAGCCTGAAGTAATTTCGACTTTTTTTGGTGATCAAAAAGGATAAATAGACACTTCTTAAAGATAAAAGAGCCTATTTCTTTTGCATTCAATAACATTTGACCTTCCTACTGACACCCCCCTTCTGCCCCTAACACTAACTCTTTCCCACCTCCCACATAAAAAAACCCATAGAAACAACATTGCTGTATTGAAGCTGGTTGAATGATGCTTTAAATCCCCAAAATGTGTGTTAATCATAATAATAATAATAAAAATATTTCTAGTACTGCCACTCAAGAAACATTCAACCTTAAAATTAAATCTGGAAAACTGATTAAATAATAATAATAATTCAATGTCTTTGGTAAACTTGTAAATGGTAAATTCTATTCGATATATATGTATTGTACTCTGGTGGCTCAACAGTAAGTCCGAAGAATTATAACGCTAAAATTCGGGTTCGAATTTGGTAATACAGAGTTTGGTAATACACAGATAGCTCATTGTGTACAAACAAATCAATGCACATTTTTATTATTTACCTATTAACTTAATAAAAACAGAATATTTTGATTTGATTTCTGTCTGCATATTATAATATTTAAATCAGATAGCTCTTTTATTTATCAGCCTTCGAAAACAGTATTTCATAAAATATATTTGCTAGTAAAAAATTTAAAAGGAATTAATTTGTTCGCGTTTTATGTTCTTATTTAATCTTTCATATATAAATAGAATAAGTTATTTATATTAAATTATGTTTAAAAATAGATGGGAAAAAAACGTGTGTTTCTTCAACAGAAAAATAACTAATGCTAAAACAACTTTTAAAAACTACCACTAATTTTGTAGATTTTTATCATCAATAAGTCCAATGTGAGTATTTAATAAGTTTCAAGTGAATGGTCATTTATCATGAATTAATAAATCGAAACAACTACCCCACTTAGGGTATATTTTTGTATCAATATAGATTTTGCTAGCTGTTCAACCAAAGTGGGATCTCATGTCGCAAATTGCTTCACGTAAATATTTACTAGATTTGTTTAACCATTGTTCCCTCCCAAATAAAACCCCAAAACTATGAAACATCCAAAAACAGAGTCTAACTATAGATTACATTTGTAAAATTGTCACGTCTTTATATCTTTAGGTATGGTTATAACAATAATATTAAAACGTAGTCCCCATGCCTTTGCTTCTAGTTTATTTATCATGTGGATATTTTAATGCTTATTTGAAGACCAGTTACTATTTGTAATTTGGTTAGCGCCGTTAAGGTTTCCTTGTTTAATACATTATAAACTTCCTCGTATTTCGAAATGCTACACACTCAAAAGCTGTTTTGTAGACTGGAAAAGGATTTGTTAGACATTCAATAGGAGCTGAAGCTTTCTAAGTGTAAGGTACATCCATACTCTTAGGCTTACTTAATGTACAAACTAATCTGTGTATGATCACGAATTCAGCAGCCAGGGGGTTAAGCCTATTTGCATAATGGCATTAATATATACCAGCGTCGTCAAAACTGCAACTTGAGAACATTGTAATGGTAAAACCACTTTTAGAACACGTACATAGACCGAATCCCTTTTCACACATCGATCTTTGTTTTGTCGAACAATGGACTGTGGTATAATATTTTATAAACTGTCATACTATTCGCCTGGGCATATTTTTTGGTCCACAAATAAGGTACAGAGGATCTTTAAGTTTAGCTTTTTACCAGTAGCTGAAGTTACATCTAATGAATACGATTATATAAATATGTATAGCTCAATCTATAATAGGAACAGTAAAACCCGTCCAAACGTCAAGTACTGGAGATATTTGAGTTTAGCTTATTTCCACTAGTTGAAGTTACACCAAGTGAATATGATTATGTATAGCTCCAACTATGACTGGTTTAGATCCTTGGTAAAACCAACATGCATTTTTATTAGCTGGAAATTAATTAAGTGCTTAATAGGAAACAAATAAAATGTTTCAATGAAAGCAACTTTGAATTAAGTTTATTGCCACTATTGACTCAGCGGTAAGTCTGAAGGCTTATAATGCTAAGAACCGGGTTTTAATATTCGTGGTAGGTACAGCAAAGATAGACCATTATATAGCGTTGTGCTTAATAACAACAAGCAAATAACAAAATTAAGTGTATCTTTGCATGATTACAAATTTCATTATTAAAGTCCAATGCATATTTATACTTAGATCTATTACATTCCTAATCCTTTACAGTTTTCCCCTCACTCCTACCACATAACCATTTTAGATCCCTAATCATATATCATTTTTTATCCTTATCCCTACAACGTTACCCTTTTACATCCCTAATCCTATAATGTTTTTATCCTTACACCAACCACACCACTCTTTAAAATAACTAATCCTATACTGTTTTTAGCCTTACGCTTACCACGTTATCCTTTTACACCCCTAATCCTCTAATATTTTCTCCTTATACCTTGCTACATTACCCTTACAAATCCAATACAGTTTTTATCCTTACATCTTACTATACTACTCTTTTAAACTAGCCGTGACCCGTGAAACAGTTATGGTACTTGCCCTTATCCTTATTCTATCATTTCCACGCACGCCAATAAGCTACGCTTTCTTGCAAGCATTATGTGTTAAATTGATAAGTTCTGATCTATTTGGAAAAACAAAATTACGCAATCAGAGAAAAAAACTCACGTAGACGTAACTTTATTTAATAAACTACACGTAAAGTAAACAATAAAGTAATGGAATATATATATAATAATGTACAGAGTATGAAACAGTTATGAGCGTTCAGTGTATGACGGGGTTTTACAAGTTGAAACAAAGATTCCTAATTCTTTACCGTTTTCATTTTTAAACTTATTGTACCCGTTACAAAGGTTGGAGTAAGTTATATTAAAACTAGTTTCGAGCCTCACCACCTCGTTACAATCCATCTTGCCACGTCGGATTATGATCTATCTGACGATCATGAATCTTCACAAATATACCCTTCCCAAATTCGATAACTTTTCGGGAACATAATGCTACTACGAAATGACAAACATTGTCAAAACATAGTTCTGATACATGCCGTTCCACTGCGACCTTATATCAGCGGTAGTTCTCCCGTGACTTGCTTATTTGTGTCCTTATTCCCACCAATTGAACGAAACACAGACTTCCATGTGGTCATTGAAGGGTTAGATCTGGTACAGTTGGAAGCGTATCCGAAATTCGCAAAAATTCCTCTTCGAGGAAAATCTTTTATAAGAAAATTATCTAATTAATCTTATTCTATAACGGATCTTTAAGATTTGGTTCAGAAAAAGGAGTGGTTTGGTGAATTCCAGAATGAAGATGGACTAAACTTAGTTTGCTTATAGATTTTATTATGGAAACTTAGTTTTCGTTAATTACTAGATACCCAGACACGCTTTGATAACGTTATCAATGTTGAGACTTGAGCAGATTTTGCCAGTTGGGCGTACATAGCTCATAAAACCATAATTTTTCTTATGTGCACTTTTTCTTGTCCTACTTTGCCACTGGATAGTTTACACTACAGGTAACAGCATCAACATTATGTATTTAATATAACGAGGCCCGGCATGGCCAGGTGGATAAGGCGCTCAACTCACAATCTGAGGGTCGCGGGTTCGAATCCGCATACCACCAAACATGCTCGCCCTTTCAGCCGTGGAGGCGTTATAATGTGACGGTCAATCCCACTATTCGTTGGTAAAAGAGTAGCTCAAGAGTTGGCGGTGGGTGGTGATGACTAGCTGCCCTCCCTCTAGTCTTACACTGCT